ACTCGCACTACTATTCATGATTGAACAAAACTTTTGGCAGGTACTGTATGAAAAAGTATGTTTAATGAACAAGAGTCGAGAGTATAATGAGCTTTTTTCTCCCTACCTACGATTTTGCCAGCGCGCATCCAAGACATTTGAAGGGCATATCGCTAGAGAAAGTAGATGAAGTATAACTCAAATGTGTCGAGTTGGAAACTACGTACTTTTCGGAAATTTAAACTCATTAAAACTCAAAAACAAAATCGAGGCATATTTATTTAATATAAACTTGTATCAAAATTGATAGAATCAAAGTAGAATATATATTTTTGATAAAATCTAAAATTTTTATTTATACGTGTACACATAGAAACATAGAACTATAGGAATATAGAGCGCTTATGGGCTGCTAGCGTGATGCCAGGAACGCTGTTATCAACCCTTTGATGTTGTCCTTCTTTAGTAAGATGAGCATGCGAATTGTACAGGCTCGAGCATAAACAATATTCTCTTACTACAGGAAGAACAACAGAAACGTTGTCTCTCACTTCTGGCATCACGTGGAGTACTTAGGAACGGCGCACTCCATCTCTATATCCCATATATGGGTTTGCAGAAACACCCCAAACAAAATTTTTATTCTTTTAAACAGATTATAATTTCGTATAGTTCGAGACCTGACTGATCTTCTAGTGCCTTTATTTTTTGCAGTTTCTACAACTTGAAGTTCTGTTTAAATAAACTTCTTGGATCTGAAACTTAGACAAGTATTTTCGTTGTTGTGGTGCATCTTGATACTTTTGGTCGTGTGTTTTGGTTGATGATTTACAGCTCGTCAATTTTACAATTCATAATTATTGTTTATTGCCAGCTAAATCATAATAACGCGTAGCCAAACATAAGTTCCCGAGATTAAAATGTTCAGTCTCTCAGAGTTTCTGAAAGCGAGACTCGAGTCTCTGTCTCTCACGAGTCTGTCTGGTGTCGCTGAGAGAGACTGTCAAAAAACTGTTTAGCGCCTCTGATCGAGAGACTCGAGTCGCTCATAGAGAGATCCTCATTTCGCATCCAGTCTCTGAACGAGAGACTCGAATCTCTCAATAAATGGTGTCTCGACAGACATGGTTAAAATTTTCCAAGTTCAACATGTTTCAGAGATCCCAGTCTTTCTACGAGAGACTCCAGTCTGTCAATTTTTCAGTTTTATTAATTCATCTCTGAATTAACAATTTTATCGTTCGAGTCTCTCATACAGAGACTATGAGAGATCCATAAAAACACCTAGGCAATAATTGAGAGACTGTGAGAGATGCTTTCAGAGACGCTGAAAGACTCTGAGAGACTGGCGAGAGACTGAAAATTTTTGTGTAGGGTTGACGTTAATGCTGTCCTAATTTTGCTCTAAATGCCGTCGTTTGTTCGAGTTGCTTTCTAACGTTTCGCCTGCACGAATGGCTAGCTTCTTCAGAGGTATTTCCATCTCCGATGCAGAATGGGAGGCATCCAATTGACGACGTCTTTCAGACCCAACTCAGGACAGCCATGAATTCATAAACCGCCCGCGAATGCCTTTACCAATTTATTGGTTAAAATTTAACCATCTTCTCGTAAACGGTTATTAACATCATGTTTTTGTTGTTTACTAAATGTGATTTTAAAAATTTTAAACTAATAAGAAAACTGTTATTGAAATATCACGCAAAAATTTTAACATCATTATTATGGTTACGATTATGAACGATTAGAAGTAAATTTTAAATAGAGTGGATAATAAATTGAAATAACTC